GGGGGGGGGGGGGGGGATACAGTAAAAAGAAGGATATAATCTGGGTTCAATAGAAACAATTCTTGTTTTGTGCATTACAAAAATTATTTTTAAGCCATTCATCCCATGGCACTGTATGTATAGAAACACAGTGAAATTGAAGACAGTTCATATAGATTAAGACAAGAGGGTGGATACTAGATGTGGATTTAAATGTGAGGCGTTCAATATTTATATTTTTATCACTAAATTCTTGCATTTTTTGGTTCTGCACTGGATACTTGGCAGGTGTGATCATAAATTTTTTAAAAGATAGTGATTTTATTATGCTATAACATTTATGCAGTTATAAATAAAATAAGAAATTCAAAGTTAAATTGTTTCCAAATTTAAGAAATGTGTCCGTTTTTCTTAAAGTATATTTTAATTTCCTAAGAAATATAAATGTTCATTGCAAGTAACTATACATTAATTATATATCTGTTCCTGCAGGCAATGTGGAGAGAATTGAGACAGTGAAGGAGCAGCAAGAGGACACATCAGTGCCAGTTACTAGAATTGTTGAGTTGTTTGAGTCTTTAAAGGAGCATCCCCATGACTCTACTACTGCTGTGGAGGAGCATCACCACGATCAAGAAAAAGGCGCTTTTTTATTTTATGTATACTTATCATTAACTACTCAATGCCCAAATTATTTGTCAATACTTTTTGAAATACTATCATTATTATGGGTAAAATTGTAAAATACATTCTTCATTTTTTTTTAAAGAGAGTACAATGTCAAAAATGAACAACTAAAAATGAATGGAGGGAGTATAACTATCTTGAAAACTGAAAAGGCACTTCCAACCGTCACTTTTAATTTAAACTTACGTTCTCCGTTATTTATAAACACTAACTACACCAAAAAAGCATGCATAAAACATGCTAATTTCCATAAAACCATGTTTTAAAGATCAAACGCCCTTAATATGCTAGTCGGACATCTCATGTCATAAAAGATAACAAGCGCATCTGGATATATACATGGATTTCCTAAGATTTGGCAACAATAACGAAAGGGCACACTCTTCTATAATATGTTAATATTAATAGGTTATGTCCACCAAGGCTCGGACAAATGGGAAGAAATTACCAAGTATTTTTGCCTCCGCTCAGATTTGAACCTAAGCTCATCGTTTTCCACCCACTTGATTGACCACTAGGCCACACCTTTGAGTACTTTAGATTTTAACTTTTTTTTCAGTGCGTAAGATGTCAAAAATTATCTGCTCATGCACCAATTCTAAAGTCTAAAGGAGTAATAAAACTCAAACCAAAGTTTTATGGATATGGTGCTCCTAAGGAATAGAGAACTGATTTGTTACTGCACAGAGAAAGTAATCGAATTGACAGCGAAGGAAAAGAGAGAGAACAACATTGAACAGGCTGTTATAGATGCTCCGACATTTCAAAGCAAATGAAAGAAGTAAGAGACGAAAGTGAGTGGATCAAACAAGAAGGAAACGGCCCGTTGGATTCAAAAATTAAAGCATAAAAGAAAGAAAGAGGAGAAAGAAGAAGAACCCTAGTTGGGATTTAGGAAGAAGATGACAAAAGGAAGAGGAGCGTCCGTTTTAGGGGTGGGAAGCGTTTGTTTTAGGACTGGAGAACGTCTGTTTTAGGGGATTAAGTTTGGGTCTTTTAGAATTAGGGGGGG